TCTTTTCACTCTATGGTATGTGTTGAATCAACCCCTCCAGATCCTCCCAAAATAGTTCCTTAAGACTAGCTTCTGTCCTGACTTGAGGCACATAAGCACTAACAATATTAACAGTCTGATGTCCAATTATCATTTTTAAGGAAATAATTCTGTCTCCAATTCTGCTAACTTTTACAACGTTTTTCTTCCACTCCTTATCCATAATGATGCCTACTCCATTGCGTGCGCTTACTTTTTCTGTATACTAAAGTTTGAAACTTTGAATATCCTTAGATTCTTCTCCATGCCATTTTATTTCTTGCAGGCAAAGGATATTGATTTTTCTTTGAATCATAACCCCTGCAACTTCTACAGATTTACAATTCAATATCCCAACATTTCAAGTACTAAATCTAATTTTGCTCTCATAGACTAACCTCTTTAGCTGTGCACGTCCAGAATGACGTGTTAGCCCTTGCTCATTTAACACTACATCTTGGCGCCGATGTAGCGACTCTAACTCACTTATCACTGTACTCGAGCCATACAGCACGTTACTTACAAGCAACGACCTAACATTAATATTATAACGTCTATTGTCCATATTCATGATAGATTTAACAAAGTTTTACATTGGCTGTTGATGGCCTAACACAACCCTCATCCGTTACCTGGGCTTGGGACCGGCTATAAACATAGGCGGAGTTACATAATTTTGAAAATAAGATTTATTATATAAATAATTTTGAGGGAGTCACGAAATTAATAAGTAAAGTTGCATAATTAACAAGTCAAGTTGCTCAATTAACAAGTATTGTTACATAATTAATAAGTAAAGTTACATAATTAACAAGTAATGCAATTCAGTTGAAAGAGTCATGGATTTGACAAGTAAATTCAAGTAATTAATAAGTTTTGTTAAGGTAGTAACAATTACAGTTACACGACTAACAAGTAATGTAGTTCTGTTGTAGGAGTCACAGACTTAACAAAGAGAGTTAAGTAATTAACAAGTCCTATTATAGTATTAACAAGTGTAGTTACATAATTAACAAGTAATTTAGTTTTGTTGCAAGAGTCTTGAGGTTAACCAGGAAAGTTAAGTAATTAACAAGTCCTGTTAAAATATTAACAAGTAAAGTTACACGATTAATAAGTGACGTAATAATTAAGTAGTTTGAAAATAAGGTTTATTATATATATATTTTATGCATTATATAATTGAATGGTTGAGTGGTTTGGTGGTCTAAAATCTTTTGATGAACCGAGGGGTCTTGAGTTCTACACCCACTTTGGCCACTTTTGAAGAAATTAATTCTTCAGCCACCACTGATGGTGGTCTAGTTGGCGGTCGGAGCTCCAGTGATGGAGCTCTAGTGGTTGCCATCGTCAGTGAGGCTTTGGTCACCGACGACTATGGCTAGTGGTTTTTTTTTTAATATTTGAACTGAGGGTATTTTGGTCTTTTTAATATTTAACTTATTTTTAATTTAATCCCTAAAGACTGAACTAAGGTTTTGAAATTTTTTGGGACTCATCAGAAGATATGTTGTTACCCAGATCCTTTAATAAAATTCTCCCTTTAAATATTTATTTATTTTTGATTTTTTAATAAATCACAATATTTAAAAGCTGTCAAAAAAAAAATGTCAAATCACTTATCTATGTATTTTGGCAATTTATTTGACAACTGTGCATAGCATAGGCCACATACTAGTTACTAACTAAAATTAATGTGAGTGGTAAGGATTTTTATTATTTAAGTAAATAGTTGAAAATTTAAATATCAGTTTTTGTGTATGTAAAAATTTTTTTAAAATATGCCTACATTTTGCCTTTAGTACCTCAAAGAAGATACTTTCTACTATTGGTGGAATTCACTCCTTGTGTTTACCTAAAAAAATATAAAATAATTTTAAAAAATTAATAAAAAATAAGAGAGAAAAATTGACCCCTGCATTGCGGATACCATGCTAATTTAATATAAAAACTAGACCCTTCCACATAATATAATACTGCATGGTGCATAAAAATTTCAAAAGTATATAAATTTAGGCATACAATGTTTATACTGTAGCTTTGATTCTGATTTTTGTGCATATAGATTATATTATTTATTATTTATAACTTAAAAATAAGTTATAAATACTTGAAGCTTTCTTGTGATGTAAGCATAATTTTTTTAAAAAATCTGTGTCCTATGTGCAGATCCCTTAGATCAGACAAATTACACAGCCCAAAATATTTTTTAAAAATAATAAAAGAAGACGATAAATTACAGGAATGAAGAAAGAAAGGGATTTGATTCCCCCCCCCCCGCCGAAAAAAAAAGGATAAAAGAAAAGGAAAGGAAATTTACAAGAATAATGAAGAAACGTATTTGATGGGCATGCATACTAGTTTCTAGGAAGAGATTTCCTTTCTTTTATTCTTATTAAAGCAACCAAATTTTACATAGACCTGACCTAACCGTTAATTAAGACTAATCCTCATATTCTTATTTTTTCTGTTCCATGTCTGGTAAATTTAGGCATTAGCATCATGACTGCGAGTTGAAGATTCAACGAGAGAGGCCCTTTAGAATGACTTTAGCATGGCATTAAAGTCATTGTATTCGTCAACGTCGAGCGTCCCGGTTCAATGGATAAGTGATGGTTTTAGGTTAATCGGTGATCTTGCTACTTGAAAGGGTCCAACAATGTTCATTCTATATTAATTTGGGTCTTGTTAAGTTCTCTTGGTTTGATGTGAAGCAAACTTCAGATATTAAATGTGCATGGTAAATAAATAGGTCATTGTCATTATCACAGATAGTACCAATCTGCACAGAGCCATCACAGGGCCAAGCCTTTTTAGGCTATCTGTTTAAATCACATATTCTTTTAAAGGTTGGTTTAAAATAAAAAATAAAAAAAGAAAATTTTTGCACAAAAGGACTTTTAGGCTCAGCCTTATAACTTACGTATACAAGAGTTTAAGCCCTTAAAGCCACGTTTATAACAGCCAAGGTCTATAGTTGTCAAGCTGAGCCTTATTGAAAACTCTAAATCCACATTGTTATGAGAAATTACGTTATATTTGCTTAAGATATTTTTAGGAGAGCTACCACCATTTAACCCTAAACTAGACTCAAAATTGGATTATTATAGTTGCATAAAGAAATTATTTAGTAAATACGATCATTATATTTTCAGTTTTTGATTGAAATTCTATCATGATTATATTTATTTATTTATTTTTTTGCCTTCAATTGTCCTTTACACAAAATGTACTCAAAGTTTCCCTGCCTTCTTGGTGACTGACTCAAAGAATTCCCCTTCACGGATCCAACGACTAAACTTGGAACTATTTATTAATTCACTTGGGAAATCCCAATTTCAGCAGAATAATTAATTCTCTTTATTAATTCATGGCACTTGGTGTTGCTCTTCAACATTAGCATTTGAGCCGTTCATATTCCATTCAGATGGAATAGCTATATATATTTTTAATATAAGGCCAAAAAAAAGGGGTATAAATTAGTTTTTATGTAATTATATAGAACTTTCTCACATTTAAAAATTTAAAATTAATCTCCTTTACCTTTTATATTTTAACCACAAACTCCTATACCGTTGTTTCTGGATTATTCTACTAATAGAAGTTATTATGTAGTATTAAGAAAAAATATTTAGTAGTTTATATGTCATTTGATGTAAGCTAATAATGGTTTTGTAAAAATTTTATCTATATTTTTCTTGTCATCATTAGCTTATATCATATTCCACGTAAGTTGTTACATATCTTTTCTTAATATAGCATGATAATTTTTGTTAGTAAGATAACTTAAAAAACAGTGGTAGGGGGAATCTTAAAAAAAAAAAGTTTAGGAAAATTAATTTTAAACTTTTTAAAAATAAGAAAGGTTTTGTGTAGCTAATTCAAAATTTATGGGATTTTTATATATTTTAGTCTTTTTAAAATTTTCAAAGAGTTAATTATATTTTTAAAACTCACAAGTAGATTTTTTTTTTGGAATAAATTGGTGGATTTTTATCATCAGATCTCTCTATCATCAATCAATTCTCATGTAAATCTCATCTTCGTTCTTTGTTTCTTTCCTTTTTTTTTTTTTTCATTTTTTAAAAGTATGCCTCAGTTTATTATTCGAATGCGAATCAATTGATAGGATTTCATTTTCCTCAATAAGTCCCATTTCTTTCCGGTTTTTTCGAAATGAAAAATTGCATTTTTTTAAATCACTTTGAGAAAATTTATCATACTTATTTAAGATTTTAAAAATAATCAATTTTTTTAAAATTTTTGATTATTTTAATAAGATACTCCTCTTATTTTATTATTTTTTATGTACATTTTTACATTTTTGTCCTAATTAAATATTAAGAAAAATTATTAAAAATAATTTTGTTTTTTTTATTATGGATAGAGATAGAAACTTATTAAATTTTAATATAGAGTTAATGAAATCCAAAGTTTTCATTAGTTTTAATGAAACATAATAAAAGTGACCTATAAATAATATTAAAAAAAATATTTTAATTAGCTTTTGAAAATAAACAAGTATTTAAAAAATATTTATAGAAATACATAAATATATGGAAATGTCATAAAATTTTAAAAAATAAAGAACAAATTATTTTGTATAAATTAAGATACATATAAATATCATCATATATAAAATCTAAAAATCATTACATATTAAATTATTTTTTATTATTTTAACCGTTATTAGAGTATTAGTTAATCGATTAATTGATGCATTGTTTGCAGTTTGTAGCCGTTAAAATCACGCAAGCACCACGGCCATTATAAATGTAAGTTTACGATATTACCCCTACCCACCAAAACGACCGAGCGAGAAGAGCGTTATTTGGTTCTTTTTATTTAAGGAGCCATTGTTCCCTTGCGCAAATTCGCGTCTGTCTCTGCCTCCGCTCTTTGTTCAGTTCAGATCTCTCGTTTGTTTGCGTACTTTTCTCTTTCTCGAACGTACGCTTCTTCAATCTCTAGGAATTTAGTCTGCATCTCTTAGATCTCTTTAAATTCAAGACATTCTCAACATTTCGGGCCTATTTGATCTCTTCCCATTTGAATTTTTTGCGTTTATCCATCAAATTTTGAATATTTTGCATAGATCCGAAATCTGATTGGGATCTATGAATTTTCCATTCCTCGAACTGACACCCTTTGTCAGACCCGGGATGATATTGCTTGGAAGGCAACATTTTGCTGCTTTGTTTGATATGGTTCAAGTTTGTAACAGTTCATGTCACTTTGGGTCTTGGTGGGGGGAGGGGGGATTGGACGGATTGAATGATATTTCTTTCAATTTTTAAAATCTTTAGTTCCCCAGTTTTTTAGTATACCTTTTGCAAGGTAAATGGTTCCCTCTTGTTGTTTGTTAATTTCTTATGCATTTCATGCAAACTATAGTTCAGCGTTGTCGTTGTTTTGTATGGTTTTGCCCAGATCTAATTTTGGAAATTTGATTACTTTAAAGAAGATTTTTTGTATGAAGATCTGTCAAGATTCTTCCTTGATCTGTTGAGCAGTGAATATCACGATGATCTTACGGATCACCTGAATTTCCTCAAATAGCTAATAGTCAAAGGATGTGAGAGTTTAAATCGTAGATAAGAAATATATGAGCTCAAATTAAGTTTTTATGTAGCTGAAGTTAATTTCCTATGCTCTTATATTAACATGTGCAAGTTTTAGCTTCGATTGAACCCTCAATGGCTGCTTTGCTATGTGACGTTTTATGATTGGCCTTTATTCTGTACTAATGGCCTGCCTAAAATGATACTTTTTGGACAAAATTATATTTTTTCGTTTCAAATAATGTGCAGATACTTTTTTATACAGCTTTTAATTGGTATTCATGGGAACGGTTGTTGAAGCAGCAAACAAGGTACTTTTGGTCCTTATTCCCATTCACTTTGTCACTTGCTTCTAGCATTTAAGAAACTAAGATGACTCTTTTGAAAATCTTATTAAATTGAAGAGACCGTTGTTTTTCCGGCTTCATATAGATCTCCTGGGGTTTGAACTTTCAGAAGCTTTTTTCTTTTCTTTTCTTTTCTTTTTTAAAACTCCTAGGAAAAGAGCTCCTAAACTCTTCTGATAGTTGAGCAGTCTCTAGTTTTAGTTATATGCCATGGATTATCATGTTAATATCTCTGGCAAATTATAACTTCGTTGCTTACAATCACAGAAAACTTCAAACCTCCAATAGTCTGGCCTTTTTTTGTCATTTATTTGATCATTATTTCTTCTTCTTCTTCTTCTTCTTCTTCTTTTTTGTCAAATTGTCAACTCTGGCAAATTATAGCTTTGTTACTTACAATCATAGCAGACTTCAAACCTCGAATAATCTTTGTCATATTTTTATTGTCATTTATTTGATCTTTTATTTTTATTTATTTATTTTTTTGCCATGTAGCTAGCTTTGGCAAATTATAATAGCTTTGTTACATACAATCACAACAAACTTAAAGCCTTGCATTGTCTTTGTCATATTTTTGGTCATTTATTTGATCATTATTTTGTATGATTAATCTTAACCCTTCCTTTCCCTTCCCCCTTTTCTATTTGGGGTTCTTCGTTGGCTCATAGGATGAAAATGGAAGCACCGTAGAGAAAAAGCCTACAGTTGTTTTTGTGCTAGGTGAGCCCAGATTGATGCCATTCAAAGGATGCATTTTTCTATTACTATTCTGTGATTGACTTGTGGAATATTCTGACCTTTCCCCTTTATTAGCTTTTGAATTTATATTGACTTAGTCTAGCTGATAGCTCACTATAGTTCTGTTTGCTATCTTCCCCCTTGTATCATATCCTGTATACCTCATTTAATTCTTGAATAAGCAATAGTCTGTTCTGTTAATTTGAAGAGATCAGGTTGTGATTATATTGAATTATTTTGAAGACCATAAAATAGGTATATTGTGTAAGTTTGGTCTGCTAATTTGTCATGTGCCTGACACAGTTGCAAGTTTCTTGTATTTTGATTTTTTTTTCTTTTATTCAATTTGGCATGTTTTTTGTGCATGGTCAACTGGTGCTGCAAGAGCTGGTCACTTGGCAAATTTAACTATCAATGGAAAATTTGGTTCATATCTCCCATATTTGTATTGCTTTAAGTGCAAAAGGAATGTCAGGAATGGTCTATCTATGCATGCCATGCTAGTCTTAATTTCCAAACTATGCTGATTTCTAGATCTGCTGATAATCCTTGTCTCAGTTTCTAATTCTAATGGTTGACCACCAGAGCCAGCCTTGAGAGCTAGGTCTGTTTGAGGGATGTCATTTTATGTTTGTTGATGTCTGGTTTGCAGCACAAAATCTCATTAACATTAACAGGACAAGAAACATTTTGGTTTCCTATTGCAAGAAAATGAAATTTTTATAATTTTATCTTTGTTTCCCTTTTTGATTAACTTTGTGTGCATTGGAAATTTTTTTATGACTTTATGATGTAAGGGATTTCGGTAGTTCCTTGTCTTGTCAATTATTTTTGTTTCTGTGATTGATTCTGATTTTTTCTTCTTACGTTCTCATTTTCTTCACTGGAAGTTATACTGGATGATTTCTGACTTGTGAATTAATTCTTATTGGTTGATCATAAAGGTGGTCCGGGAAGTGGAAAGGGCACCCAATGTGCAAAAATTGTTGAACACTTTGGGTATACTCACCTCAGTGCTGGTGATCTTTTGCGAGCAGAAATCAAATCTGGTTCTAAAAATGGGTAAAGTTTATACACTTATGTAATAATTATGAAGATCCATGGCCCTATTGTGTAGGCTACTTATAAAGAAAATATCCACCTATCCTTTAAATCCATGATGCCTATTCCTTTTGGTTGTGCACTACTGTTGGTTTTTTGGGATCCTGTCTTTCGAGCTTCTTTGTGGGTCTCATCTCACACAGCCCCCTTGCTTCCTTGTGGAAGAAGGAGGCTCATTGAAGGACACATGGGTAAAAAACTTCTAACTCGATTTTTTTCCTTTGTTTTGACCTCATGATATAATTTTCTTTTTTCTTAGCTAGATCCATGCTTGTTTTCTTTTGCCACTAAAGAGTTATTATTTCATATTTTATTTTATTTTTTTTTAAAAGAGAGAATTCAACATGGATGCCAGGGAAAATGGAGTGACAAAGTTGCTAATTTTGAATTGCTTTTTTGAAAGTTAAAGCTCACTCTTCATTTTCTATTTGGAGGAAAACATGGTCAAAATACTAAAGCACTTTGATTGACGTTTACACAGTTTGATTTCTTTGATCTACATTTTTGTAGGGAATGTGTAATCATGCCCTTAGTTTCTGTGACAACTAATGTATGACTGATTTCTGTACATCCCTTTGCTTTCATGCAGCATGCTGGCTACAGCATGCAGATAACCCCACAAAGCTATGTAGATTATGCCATTTAATTAATGCAATATATCTATTTATATCTTTGTTTTGACAAAGTCTTACTGTCTCAATCGTTCTCTGTGTGCTCGTCGAGTTTCAATTCAAGAAGATGTATATTTATCTTCTTATAGTGATTCTTGTATGTTCCTTTTCAACTGCTGATATGTTATTGTGTTTAAATTGTTCATATTCTGGCTTGATCTTATTTGCACAGTTGTTTGCTGTATGTTTTACAGCACTATGATTCAGAATATGATTCAAGAAGGGAAAATTGTTCCCTCAGAGGTCACAATTAAGCTTCTGCAGCGAGCGATGCAGGAAAATGGCAATGACAAATTTCTCATTGATGGTTTTCCTCGTAATGAGGAAAACCGTGCAGCATTTGAAAATGTGGTAGGTTTTCAGTTTCAATACACAATTTATTTTTGCTGCTTTCATGGATGAATCAATGTATGTTCTGTTAACTCACGAAATGTATTATGGCCTTGCAGACTGGAATAGAGCCAACATTTGTCTTGTTTTTTGACTGTCCTGAGCAAGAGATGGAGAAGCGCCTCCTTTCTAGAAACCAGGTTGATTTTTTCCTCCTTCATTATAGATTTTTTATGTCTTATAGTTTTCAGCATTTGATGTGTCCTTATACTTTTATATAAATAATAAAGGGAAGAGTGGATGACAACATTGAAACTATAAGGAAGCGGTTTAGGGTTTTCTTGGAGTCTAGTCTCCCAGTGGTAAATTATTATGATGCAAAGGGAAAAGTTCACAGGGTAACTTACTCCCCCTTCTCTTGCTTTTACCATATTTTTGTTTAGTTGTTGCTTCTTTTTCTGTACTGAGGGCATAAGTTTTCATTATTAGATTGATGCTGCAAGGCCTATTGAAGAGGTCTTTGAAACAGTCAAGGCCATTTTCACTCCAAAAAATGAGAAGGTATCCCACTATGTTCGCTTCATGTCAAAAGTTTATATGTATAAATTTCGATTTGCATCAAAAATAAAATTAGACAATAGTCATTGCTATTGTTAACGGACCTGATTGTATATCTATCGAAGTGTGGAAATGTTTAGGTGAAGAAGGGGTTAGATGGTTAACTAAGTTATTTAATGTGATTTTACGGTCCAAGAAAATGCCTGATGAGTGAAGGAGAAGTACATTAATTCCTATTTATAAAAATAAAGGAGATATTCAGAATTGTACTAACTATAGAGGGATTAAGCTCATGAGCCACACAATGAAATTGTGGGAGAAAGTAATTGAACACAGGTTGAGATTGGAGACAAGTATTTCTGAGAATCAGTTTGGTTTTATGCCAGGTAGATCAACTACAGAGGCGATTTATTTACTAAGGGGATTAATGGAAAAGTATCGTTGTAAAGATAAAGATCTACACATGGTTTTTATTGATTTGGAAAAAGCTTATGACCGTATACCAAGAGAAGTGCTTTGGAAAGCGTTAGAAAAAAAGAGAGTACGGATTGCTTATATTAAAGCCATACAAGATATGTATGAGGGGGTAAAAACTAGTATAAGAATGCCTAGTGGTCAAACAAAGGATTTTCCTATAAAGATTGGACTACATCAGGGATCATCTCTGAGTCCTTATTTGTTCAACTTGATCTTAAATGTTTTGACGGAACATATTCAAGGGGAAATTCCGAAATGTATGCTCTTCGCGGATGATATAGTTCTTATAGCAGATACAATAGAAGAGGTTAATTGTAAACTTGAGTTATGGAGGAGGACATTGGAGTCGAAAGGTTTTCGTCTGAGTACAAGTAAGACGGAATATTTATATTGTAAATTTGGTAAAGGACTATTCGACAATAATTTGGAAGTGAAATTGAGAGATCAAATTATACCTCAAGTGGAAAAGTTTAGATATTTGGGAGCCATTATTCAAAATGATGGCGAAATCAGTGGAGATATTTCACATAGAATTCAAGCTGGGTGGTTTAATTGGAGAAAAGCTAAAGGAGTTATTTGCGACTGTAAGGTGCCTAATAAACTTAAAGGAAAGTTTTATCGCACTGCTATCAGAACGGCAATGTTTTATAGTAGTGAATGCTGGGTTCTAACGGGACAGCAAAGCATAAAGTTGGAGTAGCAGAGATGAGAATGTTACGATGGATGTGCGGACATACACGTAAAGATAAAATTCGAAATGAGCACGTACGCGAAAAAGTGAGGGTGGCACCTATTGAGGAAAAAATGGTAGAAAATCGGTTGAGATGGTTTGGACATGTACAAAGAAGACCAAAGGAGGCACCGGTGAGAAGAGTGGAACATATAACTTTGAGTCCGATTAAAAGAGGTAGAGGAAGGCCTAAGAAAACACTTTTGGAAGTTATTGAACGCGATCTATTAATTAATAATATTTCCTAAAAGCTTGATAAATGATAGAGCATAATGGCGTCTTGCAATTCATGTAGCCGACCCCACTAGTGGGATAAAGGCTTGTTGTTGTTGTTGTTTGTTGTTGTTGTTGTTGTAGTCATTGCTATTGTTAAGTGAGTCTTCATTGTTTCAATACTGTGTATTATTTATACTAGTGGCCTCAAGTGAATGAAGCTTTGTTGGCAGCTGGTGATGGAAAGCTCCTGATAAAAATTTTATCACTGATCATTCCTTATACTTTTGGTAACTTGTATGGAACTTTGTTCAGTGATAACATAATGTGCTCCATACCTTCAAGTGTGCTCAAACTGTATGATTGACTTATCAATTGCTCCCAATCGTAAGGAAATGAAGTTGATACTTCCATCATGATCCTGCAGTAGTTACTTAGTGGTCTTTATAAGCTTAACAGTTCAGAAAAAGGAAACGAGAGAATGATCAATTACAATTTAGGAAGATTTGGGGCAACAAAATATTAAAAATTTACAAAAATAGTGCTAGCCATTATACGGACATAAAGGTTTTAAACTTGTGCTAAACTTGTGCCATTATACTTACTTAGTAGTCTTTATAAGCTTAACAGTTGGGAAAAAGGAAGTGAGACAATTTAGCCAGATTTGGAGCAACAAAATATCAAAAATTTACAAAAATAGTGCTAGCCATTATACGGACATAAAGGTTTTAAACTTGTGCTAAACTTGTGCCATTATACTTACTTAGTAGTCTTTATAAGCGTAACAGTCGGGAAAAAGGAAGTGAGACAATTTAGCAAGATTTGGGGCAACAAAATATGAAAAATTTACAAAAATGGTGCTAGCCATTATACGGACGTAAGGGTTTTAAACTTGTGCTAAATTGCACTGCTCAAGCCAAGGAAGGAAAATCCAATGAAATTTACATGTCTTGTAAACTTTCTGTTTTACCTTTTATCTTCAACTTTTACATGTACTGCTTCAATGAAGTTATTTCACTTGTCTGTATGAACGCTACATGAGAAGTTCTTAGAAGACCAAGTATCCGTGAGAAAAATAAATATATTTCGGTTGCTGAACATGAAATCATCATTGAACCATTCCAACTGCAAACTTTTGCTGGAATTGATTTTCATGTGACGTTTGCAGGCCGATTGAGTATACAAACCCCAGCTTTTGTTTGCTTGAAAATTAGAGGTAATATTTGCACCATATTATGCTAGACATCTCATACATCTTTCAGACTGATTTTCCCCCTTTTTAGGTGTTTTGGCTGCTATAGCTTCATCTTGGTGGTGTTCTTAATCTTATTTCAGGAGCATGATAATTACCTTTTTCACTAGTGGATTCAATACGTTTATAAGTAGTACTCTGGTCAGTGATGGGAATAGTTTTATCAAAGTATTGGACAAACACTGGTAGGGTGATTGGGCAGTGGACTATCTTCATTTAGAGTTTTAGTTTTAAAATTTTACCTTTCTGTGCAGTTCTTTACACGCATTGAGGTATTGATTCTCTGATGTCGGCTTTTTAGAATATTCACTTCAATGACGCGAAATTCTTGTGTTGTTGTGGGCTTCATGGGAATATTTCAGATGCTCAACTACTTTGTGCAATACTTTTAAAAATGCTCCACTATTACTGCAACAGCGTATGTTCAGTCAATTCTTAGTCATCCATAGTGGGAATGGCATCTTGTTATATTTTTTGGTGTGCTCAGCCTTTGGTTTCCTTCTTTATTTATGTTCCTGATTTCCCATTAATATAGGCAGTATTAGTTACTTTATATTAAGATGTGAAAGGAGTTATTTATTGCCTATTTTCATATGGAGAATTCACATACTAGGTTTTCTTAGGTAAATTTCTTTAATGGCTAGTTATCCATTATAGTGTGTAGATAGAATTACCCCCCCCTTCTTTGAAAGACCTAATCATCAACGGACTGTGAAAAAATTGTTTTATTTTATGTAGGAGAACTTAATAGGTTAGACATAAGATAATAAAGATCTTTGCTTGTGAGCCAAGCTTGCGAAGCTTAGAAATCTTGAAAAGATAACAAGTATCTTTTTCCAGGCTAATTAATAGAGATGGCTAGGTGTTATATATTTTGTGACCCTTCCATGAATTTTGGGGAGAATTACATGTAAGTTCCATATAAGAAAATTAATATTACTTGTAAATATACTGACAAAATAATTAATTTCCTTATTTGGGACCTAATTATAATTTTTCCTAAATTTTGTTAGATCATTCTATGGGACCTAATTTTTTTTTCACATGAAAATTTAGGTGAATTATGTCTTGGGAGCTCACCAGGGCTAGGGCATGCTTTTAGGCTTAAAAAATGTTTACAAAGGGGCTTATAAATTACCCATTTATAAGGTCTTCACATTGGCACTGGGATTTAAACCCACAGCCTTATTGGTTATGGACTAAATCTTTATAGATCGACCAACCTTCTATACAAGTTAGGGGCTTATAGATCAACCAACCTTTGTTGGGTTATGGTGGATAAAATTTTGTCACATAGGCAAATGCCACTTCCTACTAGTTGGCACCAGAATTTCTTTTGTCAATCTTGATGTTGGCTGACCTGCCCATATATACCCTCAGTTTCAGCAAATTGAACCCTCAGATACAGGCATTCAAGTATACACAGATAGATAGTGATATGATTTATAATCATCATCTTTTCTTTTTTTATCTCTTTGAATTGTATTATATGCATTTGTTTTTGGAAATGTAGAAGATCCAAAGTATATTTTCAGCTGCAAACATTATTAATGAATGTTTATTTACTATCAATTTTCTCCTTTCAGGTATTCTTATTTCAATATATTGCCATTCATACCCTCATCTGTATTCTTAAAGCATTGAAGGCTTCTGTTAAACTAAATCTCAAAGTTCGGCTGCTACAAAAACTAGATAGACAAAGGTTGTTTCTATGGAATGTTCTCTTTTGCAAAACGTAGAATATATTATTAATCATTGCGTGCATTTATACACATGTATTCATTTACACATTGTGGTATTTGAACTGTTTTTTGAATATTAATTTATTAATTATATTGGATTTTTTAGTATGGAAATAAATTGTGTTCGCTGATGTGAAAAGTTATATTCTTTTAACCTTGGACTTTCTTCTTCTCTTTTATTCAGGGTAGAAAAATCTTGTAATTAGTGATTTGTTTTGATTTTATTTTATCTTTCATAGGAATTAGAATGAGTCATTTTGTTGCTTACAAATGTTAGATTTGTAAAATGTGAATCTATGAAAATGAATTAAAATTGAGGACATTAGTTGTTGGTGGAAAGAGTTCTGAGAAGGAAAAGAAAATAATAAACTAATGTGCAATGAAGTATAACTTCCGGTTTGTTAAAAAAAAAAAAATAGAAGAAGAAAATAAAAGAGGATGATAAAAAAAAATATACCCCAAAATATGTGCATAATAATTCCGTATGGGTGAAATGTAATAATTTTTTTTTTTTTTTGTAGTCTCTTGGAATTTGTCAGCTTTGTGAAATGACACAAGGATTTCAAACTGAAGCCCAAATCCACACACATTCAACCCATACCAAGGATATTCAACAATTCAACCCATTCAAAGTCATTAAGTTTCAATAAAGCCAATGCCTAAATTTCTCAAATTTACAAATTTGCCAAAAAATTCCTTTACAAATAATATTTTTCATTAACTTTATGGTGACTTAAATTAATTCCAATTCAAAATGAAACTTTTGACACAAAACCCTTGTAAAAACTCCTTAGCCAAACAAAGGTCTAATTACTCAAATTAAAAATTCACCAAAAAAATTAGATGAAAATTCTCAAAAATTCAAAAATCAATATAACTCCCAATCTAACCAAAATTTCTTGTCCAAAAACCATACTATGTTATCGATGGATAAAAGATTTAAATACTCAATCTCAATTTAGGGTTTATAAATTGGGAGAATGACAAATAAGGATCTTATAAGAGCACTAATGTCAAATTAGGACTTTTCAACATTGATGTTATCAAATTTCAGTACTTCTACCATGTTTCAATACTAAAGTTTTTAATTTGGCATTAGGCTATCATGGGTTTGTAAGAACCAAATTTGATCAATAGAAATTAGAAGAAAATGAAATTAGATGGACGTTTTTTTTTTTGATAGAAATTGAATAAACCTTGTCTTAATGATTTAAAATGATTAGGATTTATTAGCCTAATATGATTAAGGGCTCCAAGACCATTGGATATGACTTAGATTTCCATTCCTTTCCATAGTAAAGCCCTAAGCTACCTCCATTTTCCAAGCCTGCTAGTCGTTACATCTCACATCAAAAGAATTTTAGGAAAATCCTGGCCATATAAACAAGTGTACTGCATACTCCACTGAGCTAGTTTTTTGAGAAAAAAAAGTAATAGCCCTATGACAAAATGGTATCAAAGCCAAACTTGAGTTTTGCCCAGTCAGTGGGCCCTCTGGTAGGCCACCTATGATGTTAGAGCTAGTATTTCAAGTAGGTTGGGCTTATTCGGACTGCACTTAATTTAGGTTGGGCTTAAAATACCCTAACATAAAAAAAATCAAAATAGCCAGCCAAGCTTAGCCTAAACCCTAAGGCTTTCAAACTGGCTTAAATACCTAAATTGTTAAATATTATTTTATTTTATTTTTTATGTAATGTTAATTTTTATTTCAAGAAATTAATATTTTCAATTTTTATCTTATTTTATAAATAATAAAAAAGGAATTCAAATATTCAGGTTAAGCCCATTTGGGTTTGAGACCCATATTTCTTCGGGCAGTTTGAATAAACTTAGAGTAAATAAAATCTTCTAAACTCTCTAACTTGGACCTAAAATTTTTCAAGGTTATTTGGGCTGCCTGTTAGGTTTGGCCTAAATTACGTGGCATAGGCATAATGGATTGATTGTGGGAGCTGTTATGTCTCTCACATTGGAAGGATTTTGAGAGGATCCTACCCATATAAATGGATGAGCTGCATACCTTACTAAGTTAGCTTATTAGGGAGAGAATAATGGCCTTATGATATGACATAGCAGTTATTATGCTTATTGAGATTTTTAAAATAAATTTTAAAAGTTCATAATTCATTTTTCAAACCATTAAAAGTTATAAATTAGGAAATTATGAAAAACTTAAAATGTTTTCTTTCAAATGAAAAAATTACCAATTCAAAATCATGTCAATTGGTTCTTCAAATGATTTATCAAACAAATTAGTCATTATCATGGAAAGAAAACCCAATCATTAAATAAATTAAATAAAGCAAGGTAAAAGCTTAAGGTTAGAGAGATACAATTTTATCGTGGAGGCTCAAAATAGAAGGTGAATTTGAGCTCCATCCAAGAAAGTTGATTATCAAGTTCTCCTTTGAAGCCATCTGAAGGTTTAGGCTCAATTGGCAAAGATCCTACAAAATAAGCAATAAAATAATGACCTTCCACAATAGGAGAATTAAGTAAAACAATCCATTTGGTGCAAGATCACATGAAATGATGAGTCAAGACAAAGCTCTTCACTTGTGATAGATAAATATTGAAAATTAAATTCCTTTCAAGATCAAGCATGATCTATCCCATTTCATTAACAACTCCTCCATGTTCATCATTGGTCTTGGCCATATCCATTTGTAAACATACAAAATCAACGAAAACCCTTTCTCAAGCATACTTGGGTCTAAAGAAGTGCTCTCATGATTAACTTCACATAAACATGCATTATCAATTAATGTATCGAGTGAAAAACTGCTATTCTTTTTAAATACAAAATCAACGAAAAACCCCTTCTCAAGCATACTTGGGTCTAAAGAAGTGCTCTCATGATTAACTTCACATAAACATGCATTATCAATTAATGTATCGAGTGGAAAACTGCTATTCTTTTTAAATACAAATAAATCAATTTCTAAGTAAATAGACCATGGAGAGTCATGTGAACAATCACAAGTGACTAGAGATTTAGAATAAGTACTATGACTTGTCATCAAGATCATCATCGATACCATCATTACCACAAAATACCCCAATACTTGATGGTTATTTTTATTAATACTTGATGGTTTTTAATTATCAAGTAAGGGTGCGACATATATTTAGAGCCTTACTTGACAGTTATTTTAAAATAATTGCCAAGTATATGCTTACATATTTGTTTCTATAAGTAAAAACGTAGACAGTTATTTTCAAATAACTATCAAGTATTTATGGTATTTTTTTTAAATCAGCTCTCGACATAAAGATACACAGAATATAAAAAAAAGTAGCTAGCCAATGACCATAAATAATAAAATGAATATTTCTATTGAGATTGTTATGCAAGCACATTAAAATTCTTATACATATAGCCTTAAACCTTAAAAAATCTACACTCATTACTAATTTGCAAACTAAATTTCTAAAACTAAGTGGTGTAAGACATAAAAATTGGCATAAAAAATGTAATATATAAAATGTATCTACCTAATTAACTATTGAGCCAGCCCAATTACACCTAAGTATGACATGTTTGCATAAATAAAATTTTTATCCTTAGTATTAGGAATATGCATAGAATGAGCTATAAGAGGTATAACACTATTTTGCCTCATGCTTCTATCATCTTGCTCCCTTGTATGCAATGTGTATTCACTGATAAGATAAGTAGTGTAACAAATGACTTGTCTACTTGGATCGTTAGCTAACCATTTCAATTTTTCATAAACTAAATTGGAATCAACACTTAACATATGAAGAATGTGCTCCTTGAACCATCTTGTAAAATGTTTATTATGCTCCCTAGCATACCAAATTTCTTATCTACATGACTCCTACATGATCTTCAAGTTCTCAATTAGAGAAGCCAAATATATGTCCATGTCATTCCCAAGTTACTTAGGAAGGTTATGAATCATCAAAATCACTGGCCATGTGATATGGCTACTACTTTAAAGCCCATGTAGATTCATCCCGTTAGTAGACAAAGAAAGGCATAGGTTCTTATTTCCCCAAATTTAGGGTACTTATAATCAATCTTTCTCCATTATGAAGAATTAGCAGGATGATGAAGCATGTTGTCTTTAATCCTTTCATCTGCATGCCATGTTAAGCTTTTCTTAACTTTTGTACTACTATACATGCATCTAAATCTAAGCACAATTGAAAAATACTATAGTACCTTTACCAGACTCAATTTGTTTTGCCTATGGCAATAGGAATTACACTTCGGGCACTTGGTTAACAATGCATATTCATTATGAAATAAAAGGCAATCATTAGGGCATATGCATGTATCTTTTCATAACTCATGCCAATTAATCATAACACTTATTTTGCATCATATGTTTAGCAAGGAGCTCGTTTTCCTTAGGAAGTAATTCTACTTTCAAATATCTAAGCAAATTAGTGAAGCTCACATTACTCTATCTATGTTTTACTTTCATGTTGTATAATTTTAACACTATTAAAAACTTTAACGCACTATAACTAGCATACACTAGCATCCCTACATCACTTTTCAACTTCTAAAACATTTCTAGACAATCGTTGAGGTCCTCTTCAATCACTTAGGCCATCTATTCAAGACAATCTTCCTCAAGTATACATATATCAAAATCATTAAGAGATTATTGGTAGCTTTCACTACGCTTCTGGCTATGACTAATTGTTGGATAGGGAGGCGCAGCGGAAGATTAAAATTTTAAAGTCTCTGTCTTGATATGGACCGAACGAACTTTTTTAAGTCAAGGTGGATAGAAGAGTTACCTTTTTAATTCTTTGAAGTTGACGCACGTTTGGATCTCAAGAGTTGACAATGTAGATCTGCTCCCTCTACTGGTATCCACACGAACAGCTCTCTAACTCGAACAGTGTGCTAGCACTCTCAGCATCCATTCTTTTTTTAACATTAATTTTGTTTTCTATAGGGTGTTTTGTGGCTCTCAAAGTGTTTTTGTCGTCAGAACTTTTCTAACTCTCTCTCTCTCTGCCTTCATAAGGACGTTCCTATCTATATATAGTGATAAGGGTTTTTTTTGTCTTCTACTTAAAAACTCACGAAAATTTAATTAAATTTATAAGAATTTAATTTATAATATCATATCTGATTCGAATTTAT